TAGCAGAGCAGAGTGAACGCAAGGCCTTGGGCACTGGAAAGCTCCTGTTTAAGGAACTGTGGTGGTGACACAATTGTTTTCTGTTGTCCAACGTGTGATTAAGTAAGTAAATACTTTTCAAAATCTTCCTAGTCTGGGTCATGTGCTTTAGACACACATTGGTAAATCGTTCTTGCTGTCGCAGAGATGACTTTTATGGCACCCCACTGCATAGCTGCAGGGGCAGCGTTTTGCATTTCGGGAAAGTGCAGCCTCTGGAATTGGTCCACGTGGAAGCCCTGGCTGGTTTGTTGGGTGTTAGGGTTTCTCTTCCTTGCGAGCAATAGGAACAGCAGGCTGGCTGACCAACGCCACGAAAGGAATTTCGTGGAAAGAGCAGAGTCACGCGCCGGGCCGGTGTGCAGGCTGCAGAGCGGCTTGGAGCCCAGGGACTGTCTGGGCGGTAGGCCAAAAGCAGGGTCTGCCCCGGGGCCTGGCTGGCCGTGCCCGGCGTTGCTGCTGCGCCACCCTCTCCCCTCTGCTCCGGCCTGTGGTCGCCTCTGCCTTCCCGCCACTGTCACTGAACCGGCATCCCTGCTGCCATCTGAGAATTTCCCAGCTGCCCGTGAGGAAACGTGACCCTTTGAGACTCCATGTGTATGCGTGTGTGTGTGTGTGTCTGTGCGTGTGTCAGATTTGTTTATCTGGGTCACGTGTCCACACCATCAAGTCTAGGATGAGAGAGTGGCCTCTTCAGTTTCGAAACAGCTGCTCCCAACCAAGATTCACATGGTGAAAAATTCCTCAAAAATAGAAAATAAGGGTAAGAACCTCTCTACTGCATTCTCCCAAATATACCCTGTTTTCTGTATTTGCCCTTCAACAACGATTTTTTGCATAATGTAGCACCCATATCCTGTATAGCCAAGACCAGATGCAGTCACTTCCCCAAAAGGAGAAACCCTAGGACTATAAAAAACAAAACAAAAACAACAACAAAAAAAACTAAGGTAAGAGTTATTTTGGAGTAATTTCAGATTTACGGAAAAGTTGCAGAGACAGTGCAGAGGATTCCCATATGCCCTGCATCCAGCTTTCCCTAATGTGTTAACCTTGCGTAACTGGTATATTTGAAAACCCAGGGTCCTGGGGTGGGGAGGGTATAGCTCACGTGGTAGAGTGTGTGCTTAGCATGGTTCAATCCCCCATGGTCCCCAGGACCTCCTCCAAAAAATAAGTCAATAAGTAAACCTAATTCCCTCCCCCCACAAAAAAATAATTTAAAATATTTTTTAACAAGGAAAAAAAAAAGAAAAGAAACCCCAAAGTCTTTGTTAGCTCTGGGAACTGGCTCCAAGTCGGAGCTCTAAGGGGTGTGTACCTCTCTCAGTTCTATCACAGTTTTGCTTCATGTTTTAAAACTTGTGGGCTAAGTACTAATGCATCGTATAAAATGCAGTGGGGGAACGGGGTCAGAGAGAGAAATTAGCTGAAACACACACACACTCAGGATTTAAAGTACTTGAAAATAACTGATAGATTAAATAGAAATCATGAAGTCTCAATAAAATAGGGATAGAAGATAATTTTATTAACACATAAGGGGAATCTAAAAGAAACGTACAGCAAACGTGCTTAATGATAAGCAGAAACATCTTCGCTGATGTTAGGAGCAAGGTGAGGGTTTTGTCACCACCATAATCAAGTGTTGCCCGGGAGGTGCTAATAAATCTAATACTTTTTAAAAATGAACGTAAGTTCTGAAAACATCAGGAAGAGGTATATTTGCCATAATTTCTAAATGGTACTGTGTCCTTTAGAAACCGAAGAAAGTAAGAATTACTCAGTGAAGTGCTGCATGATTGGTGGCCAGGCCATCTGCATGTTAAAGTCAGTGTCCTAGCAATTACACAACGTGACAGGAACGGTGCCCCGTTCACGGTAGCAGCAGAGCTGCAATATCCCAGAATCAGCCTTCAACAAACATTACGGTGAAAAAGACACAACTTTTCTAAATACAGAGGCACGTCCATGTTGACAGCAATCCCAAAGAAACGCGATTTACAGAAACGCAAACCAAGCCAAACCCTGAAGTACGGGGTTAAATGCTCAAAATCACGAATAATCACAGCCAAATAAAACAATCATAACCTGTCACCTGAAACTATCGGGCTGGCCGGCCAGAAAATGGGGGCGGGGGAGGAGTGTAGGAGGATGAGTGACTCCGAGTGTTTGCAGGCATGTGGGGGTAGGGGACCCTCAGGTCAGAGGCTGCATCCACCCTGTTCAGTCTGAAGGGCTTTGGCCATTCCAAGGTACGTGTGCCAGCCGTGCACAGACACCCCACGCATGCTCTTGGTCAGTTTCTCAGCTGCCTGCTCTGCCCTACCCCCTCTCTTCTGCTCTGGTCAGCACCAAGGCTGGCTACTCTGCTACTCCCTGCAGTTGGCAGGAGGTGGGGCAAGTTTGGGTCCTAAACTCCTTTACTCTGAGAGTGGTGCTTTGAGGGCGCAGCTCAGTGTGGGGCTGACTCCAGTGGACTTCCAGTTTGCAGCATCCAGCACTTCGGAGGCTGGAGGAAGGCAAGATCTATGCCTTGCAGTGTGTGCCTCAGTCAGCTCCAAAAGTGGGGGCAACCTGGTACGGACGGGGTGCCAGCCACGGGAGAGAGGAACGTGGCTGAGGGAGTTTGAGAAGGCGTGCAAGTTTCGTGTCCCAACTCAGTCCACACTTTGTGCTCCTCACACCCTCCCGTTACATACAACCCTCCTGCTGTAATATGAGGCCTGCTGTCCCCCAGGCCCCTGTGCTGAGGATGGAGACACCCTTACTCTCTGTTAGTCGGATTAGAGTCACCGAGTTGGTGACCAGTGCTGATCTGGAAGCCTATGACAAGCGTTAGTGAAACCAGGCGGAGTCCCTGTGGCTGGATTTCCTTCACCTGAATCGGTGCTCTGGGCAGTCTGGGTTGTTTGCTCGGTGTTGTGACCCAGATCTTCATCCCCAAGGGGATGGTTGCGGTTGTGTTCCTTGCTCATTGGCAGTCTTCGCTGAGTGTAACAGAGACTCCCTAGCTACTCACCTCAGGTCCAGACACCCTCCACCCTCACCCCATTAGGTTCCAGCAGTCCTGGCCCCCTATGTTTGTCAGTTATAACTCTAATCACTGTGGCCACTCCTTTCTTTGCCTGTTGGACCACTGACAAAGAACAAAAGTACTCAGTTTGACAATCACAGCTTCCACTTAAGAGGGACAAGTTCAGTGACTCCTGATAGGACTGTCTCCACTTCTACCCCCAGGAACTAGCACCTGCCATCGCTGGGAACCTAGGGGTGAATGGGAAATGGAAAACACACAAGTGGGCTGCTGGGTGTAGTAATAAAAGGGGCCACCCTACGCCTGCTGGTTTTCGACTTGTGTATTCTAGCCGTAGTCACACGATCAATCACTGGTCGTTGGTTCAAAGTATATACTACATCTGCCTTGGAAGATTGTAACCAGACCTCACTGAGTGTTGTCTCCACCAGCCAGCACCTCAGCTGAGCCATCAGTAGGCCGTCCCACCACTGCATCAGGCCAGTGACTTCTGGATGGCGAATGTATAAGATCAGGGCATTCCACTGTCACAAGCTCACTGTCATACCCCTGGTGTAAAATGGGCCCTTTATTCGGAGGCAGTATTGTGCAGGATCCCAGGGTAAGGCGTTCTGCGCGTCTCTGGGAATGGTGCTGGCAGGCCCACGGGCGGGGATCGGAGGGCCAGGGCGATGCTCTGTTGTTCCTGGTGCCGAGTCAGCAGTCAGCGACAGTAAGCAGCTGTGTCCGTGTGGACGGAGGGAGGCCTTGTGCTCGGGCCCCTGCAAGGCTGTGATCCCGGACACTGCTCATGGCCCCTCTGCACACGGACTGACTTGGTAGGAAGGGCCCCTGGCAGCCAGAGGACCATCACCACGGCACCCTGGCTTCTGAGAGCCTCCCCTGCAGTGCTCGGCCTCTGGTGGGCTTCAGGCGAGACCCACGGCCCTGCATGCTGTCGGCCCAATGGCATGCCACTCCCTCAGGCCAGTTTCGATCTCTTCAGGATGCTGACAAGCCAGAGCCATTTGCCAAAAGCATGTACCTGTACCTCCGACCACGTTTCTTGCCATGTGAAAGGACGACTGAGGCACTCTCGTGTTGGCCCACTTGACAGACATCATTTCACACTGCCTTTCAGGGATGGCCCCAGATGGCGCTGCAGCGAGGCAGCCTGTGCCACCACTCGGTCTGTTGTACGGCCCTCTCTTGCTCTAAGCCCCTGAGGATTAGACAGCCTTTTAGCTTATCCAATAAAAAAAAATCACAGCTGTGTTCCTAAGTTTGATAATTGTTTCCTCGAAGTTGAAATTCCAAAGAGGACAAACAAGTGTCTTTTGCTGTAGCTGTAATTTTAGTGTGCAGATATGAGAGGTACAGCCACTATCCTTCAGGAAAGGTGGAACATCCCGAGATGCCCTAGACATTCCATAGCCTGATTGCCACAAGGGCTAGGGGCTAGGGAAAAAAGGTAAGGGACTAAAGGCAAGGGTTACGGGTTAGGGTTAGGGTTAGCGTTCGGGTTAGGGTTAGCGTTCGGGTTAGGGTTAGGGTTCGGGTTCGGGTTAGGGTTAGGGTTCGGGTTCGGGTTCGGGTTCGGGTTCGGGTTCGGGTTCGGGTTCGGGTTCGGGTTAGGGTTCGGGTTCGGGTTAGGGTTCGGGTTCGGGTTCGGGTTCGGGTTAGGGTTCGGGTTCGGGTTAGGGGTTCGGGTTAGGGTTCGGGTTAGGGTTAGGGTTCGGGTTAGGGTTCGGGTTAGGGTTAGGGTTAGGGTTCGGGTTAGGGTTAGGGTTCGGGTTAGGGTTCGGGTTAGGGTTAGGGTTCGGGTTAGGGTTCGGGTTAGGGT